AGTTTTTACCCAATTCAAATGGACTTGACTCAATTGCAAAGTCTTTACAACATAAAATAACATTTATAAAAAAAATCTTTCATTATATCAATAACGACAATTATTACCGTCCATAGCTATAAACACTTCTTGCCAAAGCTGTTTCTTTACTTGTGGGCTGCGTTCAACGAGAGGTAGCTTAAAGTTCCATAATCCTGGTCGTTGGAAAACTTCATCAATAAGCTGTTCTTCCATGGCTATCTTTTGCGATTCTAAATCCATTGATTCATGTGAATTTACAGCGTTCTGTACTGCATGTGGCATATCCGTGACAACAGCCTCCGTACCATCAGCCATTAAGCTTCTTCGGACTATAGTTCCATTTTCTAATAATAATTGTAACAATATTAATAATCTACTCGTATCATTATTATTATTAGTGTTATTCAAGAATTTGTCATATGTAACAGTACAAAACAAAATAAAACAATTCAAGGGCTAAGAGCCAATTGTGTAATAAAGATCAATTAATTCAAAACACAAAAATAAAAATGATTATAAACGTTTCGACGCCGATATTTTACCAAAGTAATAATAAGTCACAAAGTAATAAGTAACAATAAGTAAGTCACAAAATAATCTAGAGAAGTAATTTATACTTACCACACTGAGGATAACAATATAAATTGCCATCAATGTAAACTTCATTATATCCTTCGTAGCATTTATGATATGTCAAATCATCTTTGTTGAAAATAGTTTTACATATGCCACACGTGTATGAAATATTCAAATTATTCTAAAATATCAACAATATGCACATACATTGAAACTATCGAATTTTGTCATCTTAAATAAGTTTCTACTTTGGGTGCTTTCCAGCAAGGACGCAGTTTTAACTTATTTTATTTAATTTATATTATTTATTGAGCCATTCTATATTATGTATTTTATAACATCTTCAATATACGAGTATATAAAAGAAAGTGAAAGAAGTAAAGAGAAACCTAATATATGAATGTTGCAGATGCTACTTAATTATTTATATAATTATATATACGTACTTCTTCGTCTAATCCTTACTTTTTGATCACACCTCGTATACGTACTTCTTCGTCTACGTTCATTACATTGCTGTCTGCCATTTTATTTGTAGGTTATTTTCTGTTTCGCAGCGTTCCTTCGCTCATAGTTCGACAGTGTCGAACTATGAGCGAAGCTTCGCTCGCTACAGATTTTCGCACAAATTGACGGAGTGGGGGGTCTTCGCCAGCGAAGCTTCGCTGCATGAAATGGCACCTTGACACGGAACTTGTTCTTCTTATTATATATGTTCTGTGTGCACCTTGATATCTATTTCCCGCCATTTTCGTGACACTGTGGATATCGTTTTGCCTAATCTTTTCTCATGTCGTTTTGTAATGTTCTTGTCGTAATAACGCTATTGTTGTAACACTATTGTTGTATTCCGCTAGTATTATATAATGAAAAAAGCATCGACTTTCCAAGAAGTAAAATCACTTTTATCAGTGAGTTTTTGCTGTTAATACTTTGTTACCACACACAACCTGCTCATGTTATTCATTACTTATCTGAAATGCTCGTGTAATAACGCTTTTGTTCTAATTACCGTGTAACTAATTGTATTGGAGAAATCATACAGCAAAGTATTTTACCAGAGAGAGACATTTTTTCGGACACTTACTACATCTTAATATCAACGTACGTAATCTATTGATAACAAAAACATTTTTTATATATTGATTAATAGGCAATTGAAGTTTTTATTTTTATATTCACGAACACAGTTTTTCTTAGAAATATTATTTGATCATTTATTTGCTTTTTAAAATGGTTAATGAGCATATACTTAAATAATTAATGAACATATACTCTGCAGATAAGGCCCAAATAAATTGCAAAAAATTAATGGCGATTATAACTGTATAATCACTATTATGTCATACGCTGTGATATATAGCGATTTCGAGTGCAGTGTGTTTGAACCCGACCCAGGTCGGTTAACCCATGTTTGACCCGAAAGTATCATGACCATATCCATTCAGAAATCAAAGTAGAGCATGTGACGTCATTGATCCGACCTGGGTCGGATTTAAACCCACTCCACTCGAAAACGCTAATAGATTCTGTTTATAGATTTGTCTTTTTTAACTGAACTTCTTACACAATTAATCTTTCATCCTTTTTTCTCCACATTGGAATTGTGCAAGAAGTTCATTTCAAAAGAAGAAATTTTATATGCACACAAAAATTAATAACAGTTTAATAATTTTTACGTACTACATAATTTTTACGTACCTTGCATCTTTCAAGATAATCTCACTCAAATATATAATTCAATTGAAACATTCGTTAATAGAAATAGCTTTTGAAGTAATAATGTTTAACAACTTTATTCAGAATATGCATCAGTTGTGTAATGTAAGCTCAGTAATTGTACATTGTCCATATAATACTTAAATACCTAGTTTATACTGACCACTTGATACACACTAATGCTTGATTCCACTAATGATAGTTTTAACTTTAATATTAAGTTGATGGAATTAATTATACAAGTATTAAGTGATTCATGTAAACTAGGATAATGATAGAGCATTTATAAAATACATTGAGGACTGGACCTTTATGTGTTATTAATAATTATAATATATTTATTCAATGAATTTCTAAGAATTTATATATAAGGAATGCTAATATCTTGAGGAAAAATAATAAAATTATTTTAATAAAATCTTTTTTCACAATTTTTATTGCATTTTTTAAAGTTATGGTATTAGTAATAACATTTTTTAAATTATTTTCTAGATGGAAGAAATATGTGGAAGGACACCTAATACTAAACTTTACTTTTGCGATGGTTATACTTACTACAAAGATTCTCGTAATACAAATATTCTACGATGTAGTACTCGTCGATCGTCCCTATGCTCTGGTGTTCTTAAAGTTGATAATAATGGCAAAATACATTTAGTCCAAGATCATAATCATATTAAGATGCCATGTAAAGCAAAGCAAGTTATCATGAGACAAGAAATGTTGCAACTTTGTCGAAACTCATCTTTATCTTTGAAAGAAATATTCGATACTGTTTGTAGAAAGTAAGTATTTTTAAATCTTCAATTTTTAGGCTATTAATGTATGGCAATCTATTATGATAAATATACTTTAGATGCATTTAATGGTTACGTTTAACGAAGAAAACTGATCAATAAGCACTTAATAATTTTTTAATATAATTGATATACTTAGATCCAGGGAAGAAAAGCAAGAATCAATCATATTAAACAATTAAACTAAGCAGTTTTTCTTTGCTGAATGTAACGGTTTTTATCTTTAGTTCTTTGCTTAAGAATTAATTTTCGCAGTAAGAATTAATTATTTACAGATTTTAATATATCATTTAACATTATTAAGATCGTTTCGAAGATGCGAATTTGCATCAAAAATTTGTTAAATTGCTAGTCAATTTAACTCGTGATATTACTGCAGTAGTTTAATAGAATTAGCGTTTTAAGACCGAAAATTTTTCGGTGCACACATACGGTCGTATAATATATTATATTGGTTCTTTGCTTAATTTAAGTGTAGGAAGCAATCATATTAACGAATCAATGTCTACTATTTTCTTATTCAATTTATCCGTTAATAATTCAAACTAATCAAGACTCCTTACAAATCAAAGAATTGGAAATAGTAAGGGCAGTAGTGCCCTTACTATTTCCAATTCTTTATTCAATTTATTTCTAAATTTCGTATATTTCTGTTTAATGTCTTCTGTTTAAGAAATGAATCATCAATCCTTGTGCATATCAAGTTCAATACTGTAATCAACACATAAATTTGTGATTATTACTTATAGCCCATGTATTTATTTCTTGTGATACAGATATCCTGAAACAGCCGTCACATTGTCATATGCATCAATGAAATCTATATTATATCGTGAAAGAATTAAACTTCGTCCAAATTTACCAAAAGATATGGAGACTCTTATTATGAATATGGCAACATATATACCTCTTGAAAAATTTTACAAAGGATATGTAACCTGCAGTGATGGAAAGAAAGCATTAATATTTACAAGTCATGAATTGTTGCAAGAATTGCAAAAATCAACAGAACTTTATATGGATGGCACTTTTAATGTAAATTCATATATCTTAACCTTTTGAGGACAGGACTGGCCAGTATACTGGCCACTTACAAATTTGGCGACTACGCAAGATGTACATTCAATATATAGATTCAATATATGGATTTTCTATAGAAAAGAAGGTCAATTTTAAAGGAAAAATCCCCGTCCTCAAAAGGTTAAATATAGAATATTATTTTTGTATATCAAAATACTACATTTAAATAATATGAACATTTTAGATTGTTCCACGTGTACCATTGATGAGTCAAATGTATACGATACATATCCGATACATGAATGTTGTAAGTACATATACTATCAACCGTAGTTTGTTAAAATTTCATAAATAATATTGAATAAATAAGACAAAGGCAAGAAAAGCTGTAATAGGAGCTTGTTTCATTTTTTCAATAAAATGCTATTTCAATGAATATTGATTGCATTCTTTACAATAAGTGCACGTAGCAAATATAAAGATAAATATAAAAAAATATGATTTTATGTCTATATTATATGTGGAGTGCAAATTTCGATAATGCATAAAAATGTGACTCCTCTTACATATTTTTCATAATAAATGCATATATGTATTTTTAAATATCTTTTTTAAAGCTCGACTGCGAAAGCCATATTGATTGTACAATGTCAGAATTGAGAAATATATATAATAATTATTTATCATTTCAGTAATTATTTTGCGATTCTTTGTGACATATTGGACAAATATTTCAGTTTGTTACATATTTTACAGATACTGTTGGGGATAACTTAGCTTTAAAAATTATTAGATTTGAACAGTTTTGACAATTTAAACTTCATATATTATATCATTACATATTTAAATACATTAATTTTAATAATACGAATATTGTAAAATATTGTATTTTACAGGGCATTGCTATGATCTTCATCCTGTGTGAAAGTCGTTCTAGTAATATGTATAGAGCTATTTGGAAGAAAATTATGGAGTTAGTGCCAATGCTTCAACAAAATATAAAATTTTTAATGAGTGATTATGAAGTAGCAGCCTTGAAAGTGATAAGTGAACAATTTCCAGAAGCAGAAGCACACGGGTGTTGGTTCCACTATAATCAAGTATAATAATTTTATATATTTTAAATAAATTGATTTACAGATTTCTATTATATATTAAGTTCTCACTAATAGATGCTTATTGAGCATCAAAATTTTAATTTGTGATATTGTTTCAGTAGTTTAGCTAGTGTAGTAGTTTAGTTTGTAAAGTCCGGAAGAATTTCGGGGCGTAGTGAATATGACTACAAAGTATATGTACATATATAGTAAGGGAAGGTCACTGATACCGACATACCACTTTGTTTTTAGATTTTATTTAAGAATATTTCCTAAATAAAAGATAAAAATACAACTTCAAAAACATAAGTACAAACTAAAAAGTGTGTTCTATCATAGTATGAACAGTTTTTATAATACTGTTTGCAACAATTGTTTCGTAAAATAAGCAAAAATGAGGGTCTGACAAAATGGACTCCAAAACTGACATAGGTAGTAATTCCTATATTCTTTTTCTATAAAATAAAGATATATCCTATTCTATAAAGAAAACTAATTTATAAAACTATAAGCATTAAAAATGACATAATATCATTATTATACAGTCACTATTATTTAAACTGCGCAATTTGCAAAAGAACACCGCAAAAATGTTTGCATTTCTTTAATTTTTAAGTTAAACAGATCATGTTTTTATTAGTATTAATAAGGTGCAAAGGTTAATTCCTGAGAAATAAGGGAGTGTCACTATAACGAGACTTATGTAAGTATCGGTGACTTTTCTCTATATAATATATAATTCGTATTGAATTATTTAAAGTTTAAAGCAATAAAAATGTAGCTTCGACTATTATTAGGCTTGAATTCATTTCTCCTTTTGGTTGTTATCACAAGTCGATCCTATGATATTTAATATTGTTTATATATTTTGTTTATTTTTTACTCTTTTGTTTACATAAATCAAAATTATTATAATATGATTTCCCTACAGGCTCTTTTGCGTCATTGGCAGCAATTAGGATTAATACATGCACCAAGAAACGTTTTATCTATGACAATGACAATGGCATTGATTCCTTCTTCTTGTTTTGAGCAAGCTCTTGCCCTTATACAACTTGAAGCTAATAAAATTTCTTCTAAATATCCTACTGTCAATGATTTTTTAACTTATGTACGCAAGACTTGGTTACCATTGGCATCCAAAGTTAGTGTTTTTGATTGCCCTGCAAGAACAAACAACGTAACAGAGAGTTTCCATAATGTAGCTGGAAAAAAATTCGGCAAAGCTCATGGAAACGTTTGGAATTTCTTAGGTAATAATATATTGCCATATTTTTAATATTTTATACAAAACAATACAAATAAAAACAAAACATTGTAAATGTAAAAAATTGTCAGATACTACTCTTAATTAACACATTTTTAATTTCATGGAACAGTTAAATATAGATAAAATATTTTTATAGATAATCTTCGCAAATTAATAATTGATGAAGAACTAAAACTAAAACGTCTAAAAACAACCGAAACAGGTGGACATCGTGTAAGTATCAGAAACAGAAGGCGAGATTATAAAATACGTGAAGCTCAAAGAAATTTTACATTTGGTAGGTAAGTTAATAATTATTTTCTTGAAATACCGCAAGTAATTGGTAAAGCAATATTGTACACTCAGGCACTAAAAGGTTGCAACATTTTCTTTTCAAAGGGTTTCGGAATGCAGTCAATTCGTTGAGCGATTGGTTCTTATTTATGGAGCCATAAGAACCAATTTTTCAAAGTTGCTGCATTTAGAAATCCATCGAAAAGGAAGTGTTGCAACCTTTTAGTTCCTGACTGTACACTATTTATATTCTTATTAATAAACGTTTCTAAATTAAATGTATATATCAGCAGTTTTTAACATATGCTATATTGTAATCATAATAATACAATGCGTTAAAGGACCATAAGAGTCATTTCAGATAAGTATCATTATAACGATATTAATATTATTGTTAAAAAATTTTTACATACATATATATACGAGTCCTATTACTCATTCTCTTCAATACATAATTTCGATATAATATAACATGTTTCGACTCTCGTGTTGAGTTTTCTTCAGATATTAAAGTATAACTGTGTTTCCTCTTACTGTGGTCTGCGATAATGATGTTCTTTATTTGCTGTGGTCCATCCGTGAGTGTCTTCCGGAATCATGAGACTCTTTCTCCAAACTATTAACAGATTTTTTGGTAGTAGTGTTGTCATGCCCATACAGCTCGCATGCATACATTTCCAATAATTTCTAACACCGATAGGTTGATCTTGATACAATCAGTAAAGATTTTCTGATTGTATGAAGATCAACCTGTTGATGTTAGAAATTATTGGAAATGTATGCATGCGAGCTGTATGGGCATGACAACACTACTACCAAAAAATCTGTTAATATTTTAGAGAAAGAGTCTCATGATTCCGGAAGGCACTCACGGATGGACCACAGCAAATAAAGAACATCATTATCGCAGACCACAGTAAGAGGAAACACAGTTATACTTTAATATCTGAAGAAAACTCAACACGAGAGTCGAAACATGTTATATTATATCGAAATTATGTATTGAAGAGAGTGAGTAATAAGACTCTTATATACAGGGTGGGCCATCTAACGTTTTCAATTTCATTTAGCTGTAAAAATAAAACGCATTGGTATTTAAAAAAATTTTTTTTTGTATTCAAAAGAGTGCACTTTGACATTTAAGAATGGAACACAATTTCATTTAAATGACTTCCACGACTGGCCTTACAGTAGCCCATACGATGAACCCAATTTTGAAGTACTTTTTCGATTGTATGAGCTTGAATTTCATGAATGGCAACTTCAATCTCGTGTTTCAAGGCATCAATTGTCTCTGGATGATTAGCGTAACATTTATCTTTAACGGCACCCCACAAAAAATAATCCAATGGAGTCAAGTCACAGCTTCTAGGCGGCCAATTGACATCAGCATTTCGGCTGATTATTCGATTTTCGAAAACACCGCGCAAAAGATCGATTGTAACGTTGGCTGTGTGGCTCGTAGCGCCATCCTGTTGAAACCAAATGTCATCTGTGTCATCATCTTCAATTTCGGTAAACAAAAAATTGGCTAACATAGAGCGGTAACGCTCGCCATTGACTGATGGTTGTTCACTAACACTCTGAGCAACAGTGGCAATGTTTTCAGCTGTCCGCACTGTAGGAGCACGAGAACGTGTTGTTTTATCCAACAACGATCCAGTTTCACGAACTCGCTTCACAAATTGATTCACATACTGACTTGAAGGCACGTTTTGTTTACCAAAAATTTTTTGTAATTTTCTTACAGTTTCAGTAGAAGACTCACTATTTTGGAAATATGTTTTCAATATTTCCCACTTTTGTTCAAGCGAAAAGCGACTCATTTTGTAAATGTCAAACATAAAACTAACTTTCTCTCATAACACGGATGATGTAAGTGTTGCCAAAATCAAAGTAATCGGTAGTTGAAATTGAAAACGTTAGATGGCCCACCCTGTACATGTATGTAAAAATTTTTTAATAATAAAATTAATATTGTTATAATGGAACTTATCTGAATTGACTCTTATGGTCCTTTAACGCAGTTGTATTATTATGGTTTGTTAAAAGAGTCCTGTATAATTTTAATTTATTCTATATTGTAACGTTTTGTAATTTTATTATATATTATTTACCATATTGCTTTTTAATACTCCTTTACGAATTATATAATACTTTATAAATCTACTTTTTCTTTCTTTTAGATTAAATCTTGAAGATTTTCTACGTATGTTCACTGATACATGTGAAAATATTCTACTAAAGACCAACTTATTTTATGAAGGTATTTATTAAGTTATTATTTATTTATTAGATTATTTATTATTAAGATTATTATTAATTTAAAAAAAATAAAAATCTTTTATTGGATTCTAAGAATCAAACATTAAAAATATGAACCATTTAAATTTAAATTACATTAGACTGAATTACGTTCCGTTAGATTTTATTTTAATTAAAATCATAAACGTCTAATAAATACAATCTTAAACGTCTAAATAAACCGCCTAAGTAAAATAATTATTGAAGAAATACATAGTAATAAAATTATTATTACTTTAAAATGCTTAAAATATAAACAATACACGAAATAAAAAGTAGTAAAAATTTTTTTAAATTTAAACTTATTGTGACTGAATTTTTACTTTCTTTAGTTATGATAATTCTGTTATTATTAAAAATATTAATATTAATTGCATTTCTTTGCAGAAAATAATGATTGTATACATAATTCACTGTCTGACGAAAATGCTCTGTGTGTACTTTATGGAACAGAATCAAAAATATTACAGAATATTGAAAGTAACGTAAAAGTAAATGACGCAAGGATAGAATCTTTACAAGAATTATCCAATAATAGAAAAAAAAATACGCGTTTACGCGTAAAGCGTAAAAAACAACCATTATCAATTACTGATAAAGGTAAGAATTAAAATTTCAATATTATATTTCTAGCAATACAAACTAACTGTCCCCATCCCAATGTTAATAAGTTCTAAGTATGTTAAAACGTCAACAAAAATAAAAGATATGATTTTTTGTGAATGCTAAGATGCAAGTTAAGAAAATATTAATATAAGTAAAATCCTCCCGCAAAAATTCAATTTTTTCTTTCGGAATGAATATCGTTTAAACTATAAGAGATAAAAATAAAAAAATATTTAAGTAAAAATTCAATTGCTTTATATATATATATATGTATGTATATATATATGTATATATATATGTATATATATGTATATATATATATAATAATATAACTATTGCGTAAGAGTAACTTACAATAAGTTTTTATTTGTAATTAAAATTACATAAAAAATTTTTAAACATGTTTTTAAATTCTTATATATTACTTTTAAAACTACTTTATTTTTACTTGAAATGTTTATTATATTTTTTTCACAGCGTTTAAACGATTTCACTAAAAAAAAATTATCTTCAACAAAGAGTTTACTCTTAACGTAAAGTCTACATTTACAAAAAAAATCGTATCTCTTATTTGTGTCTATATTTTAACATATTCTAAGCTTATTAAAATAGGAAGAGGACATAACTAGTTCTATAAAGGGAAACATTATTTAAATTAAATGATAGTTAAAAGAACAATTATTTTTCCTACTTTTAAATTTTATCGAGAGACGTTGTTAATAATATATAATAAATTCACATTATTTTTGTTGCTTGCTTTTATATTTTATTATTTGATAGATAACTACTTTATAATATTCACACATTTACCAAAATTTATGACGTGAACGAAATTGATTGCAAGTTTATATTAAATAATGTATCTTAATATATGAACTTTAAAATTATATTCCACTTTCCTTCTAATTACATCATCATTGGATTCGACTGTTGTTATTAACACTAAATTTATTAACAGAAAATGAAAGAGACAGAAACGCAAATAACAAGCAAAATATTGACTGTACAAAATTACCTGAATTACGCGTTGTTCTACATGAAATAGAAGATTCATTTAAAAAATATAAAAGAAACAAAATTTAATTTTTACACAAATGCTATTATAGAAGGTAATATTTATTTACTTCAAAATATAAAATTATTTAATTTATTGTATACATATCTACACGAACAAAGGTCTTAACTCTATTTTTTTTCAGATATTATATCGACACTACAGCTTAGAATATAAAATATGTAAAAATAATCTTTCATTTCCAGAAGATATAGAAAACGATTCCGAATGTACAGAGAATAACAGTAACGCTTACAGTAATAGAAATGACACAAGATGGAGAAAATGATTCCGATGTACAGTCGGTTAATAAAAGGTTGCAACACTTATTTTATATTCCGATGTACAGTCGGTTAATAAAAGGTCGCAACACTTATTTTTCGATGGGTTTCGGAATGCAGCTTA